ATATTTGGATAATAAAAAATATTAAAGTATATTATATAAAAGTTTTATTTATTAATATTATTTTTTTTTATATTTTATTTAATATATTTTTAATATATTACATTTTTTTTTTACATTTAAAATGTTTAGATAAATTAAAATGTATAGTTTTTTTTAAACGTATTCATATTTTAAAAGAAATATACAAGACAAATCTAAATAATTAAAAAATATAAATATATTTTTCTTAAAGTAATTTTAAAGTAAATAGTTATCTTTTTAAATGTAAATATGTAACATTCGCTGCAAATTGAATTCAATAATGTAACCTGGATTTGCCATTTACTAAACTAATATTAGCATTTCATTTAAATGTGAATGTGTCTAATTTTAAAATTGCATTTATCACAAATGTAAATGTGTGATTATTTGCGATTTTAAAAATAGAATTATATTACTTGAACTGGATGGATGTGTTGAATATGTTAATGAGGATAGCAAAATGATCATTTAGATGAAGTTTACCTTTAAATGCATTACACAGACAATACATTTCAACTTTCCATTGCATAGATATTCTGTGCTTTAAGTATACAAATAAAACAAATATGACGGTTCTCTTTGAAAACATGTTTTTCTGTCAAGCCTGGTACATTGGAAATGTATTTGGGTTGAAGGTCAGTACAAAACAGCTAATAATGACTTTAGCAAACACATTATTTGTGTACTTAGTGCCAAGAAAAAAACTGTACAAATGATTACTGCGCTATATTTCTCATAAAAGTGTTAAAACGTTGAGCTTGAAAAGGTCAGTTATAATAAGTGTGGCTATAATGAAGTGCTGATGAAGACTGTAAGAGAAACTTCTGACTTGCGTGATAGGATTTCAGAAAGATCAAACCAAAGTTTAAACTATATAAGAAGGGAAATTTCACAGAATAATAGGGCTGGACGTGGAAAAAAATAATTCTGCATTTTCTCAGAAACTGCATAGAACATCAAAACTACATGCACTGAAGCATTGTATTTTATAGCATTTATTTAAAAAAGTGTTTTTTTTTTAATGGAATTCCATTTAATTATTTAGTTCACTTATTATTTTTAAGTGAACAGAATTGCATTTTTCAATATTTTTAATCCTTTGAAATATAATAGTAATGAATAAGGTCATGCAAACTGGATAAAAACAAACATTAAAAAATAGTGTTTTATTAATAATTAGTTTTTTTTAAATTGAGCAGAATTAGATTTTTTTTTTTCACTTTATTTAAACATTAAAATATAATGGCAATGAACAGCGTCATGCAAACTGAATAAAAACAAACATTTAAAAAATTCATTTTTATATATATATATATATATACACACACACACACACACACATATATATATATATTTTTTTTATTTATTTATTTTTTAATTATTATTATTATTAATTAAAGATAATTTTAATTATGTATTCATTTATTTATTTAATTTTTTATCTTTTGCTTTATTTAACCCTTTGAAATATAATAGTGATGAATAGGGTCATGCAAACTAAAAATAAAACTAAGCTTTTAGTTAATGCTCATTTGTATTACACATTGATCAGAGTTGAATCTTTCAAATAATGTCAAAAAGTTCAATCATTTGATAATTATATCAGTAGTAAGTTATGGCATATTTCCTTACTGCCTGTGGGTTTTACGTTCATTCCAGTTTTCACCTGAAGGATTCGTTCAGCTTAGTAAAGCTTTACACACGTGATCAGGAGCGTGTGTCTTCATTCTCCTGTTATCCTGGTGTCTGCAGGTACTGTGCAGGGACCATGCCGTGGGGCAACACGGGCGACCACAGAGATTTCGAGCCTCAGAGGCACGACGACGGCTGCATCGAGGTGATCGGCTTCACCATGGCCTCGCTGGTGAGCGCTTCAGCTCTTTCTGTGAGACTGAGAATGAAGTGGAAGGCTCATGACTTACATGCGCTTCCCGTCTTCACCTCAAGGCGGCGCTACAGGTGGGCGGTCACGGCGAGCGGCTGCATCAGTGCAGAGAGGTGGTCCTCACCACCTTCAAGACGCTGCCGGTGCAGGTGGACGGAGAGCCGTGCCGCCTCGCGCCCTCCACCCTCCGCATATCTCTGAGGAACCAGGCCAACATGCTGCAGAAGAGCAAGAGACGCACGTCTGTGCCGCTGCTCAACGAGTGAGTCTCATTACAACGCATGTCACAGCTTCTTACACAAGTGCTTCAATTTTGCTTTTTCTGTTTGTTTCAGTGATTCATTTTTGAGATTAGAAAAATACGTTTTTTTTGTTGTTTTACTACATGATATTTGGCAACCTGAACTAATCTCGTCCTGTCATTCCAAGGTCAAAATGTAATATTGTTATATATATAT